GTCCATTTTTGGCAGACTCCAAAGGCGTACCATCACATATTTCGAGCGTTTTTTCCGAAATGTCATTTTCTTTCTATTTTGGTGGCTACAGATCACAGATTTGGCTCGAGGCTATTCTCCACCGATAATAAAGTCTATTGATCCTATTTTGCGCCGATGATTAAGTCAATTAAGCACCGAATTAGGCCAATATATTTTGGGATGGCATTTTACATAATTATTTGAGCACTTCATTTTCGAAAGGTCATTTTCCTTGGATTTTGAAGGATAAAGATGGTGGATTCGGCCTGAGGCTATTCTTCAATGACGATTAAGTCCATCCAGGGCCAAATTGCGTTGATTTCTTCCGGGTCCATTTTTGGCAGACTCCAAAGGGGTACCATCGCAGATTTCAGGCGATTTTTCCGAAATACCATTTTCTTTCGATTTTGGAGGCTACAGATCACGGATTCGGCTCGAGGCTATTCTCCACCGATAATAAAGTCTATTGATCCTATTATGTGCCGATGATTAAGTCAATTAAGCACCGAATTGGGCCAATATATTTTGGGATGACATTTTCGTAATTATTTGAGCAATTTATTTCGGAAGGCCATTTTCCTTGGATTTTGAAGGATAAAGATGGTGGATTCGGCCTGAGGCTATTCTTCAACGACGATTAAGTCCATCCAGGGCCAATTTGGGCGGATTTCTTCTGGGTCCATTTTTGGCAGAATCCAAAGGGGTACCATCACAGATTTCATGCGATTTTTCCGAAATACCATTTTCTTTCGATTTTGGAGGCTACAGATCACGGATTCGGCTCGAGGCTATTCTCCACCGATAATAAAGTCTATTGATCCTATTATGTGCCGATGATTAAGTCAATTAAGCACCGAATTGGGCCAATATATTTTGGGATGACATTTTCGTAATTATTTGAGCAATTTTTTTCGGAATGCCATTTTCCTTGGATTTTGAAGGATAAAGATGGTGGATTCGGCCTGAGGCTATTCTTCAACGACGATTAAGTCCATCTAGGGCCAAATTGCGTTGATTTCTTCCGGGTCCATTTTTTGCAGACTCCAAAGGGGTTCCATCGCAGATTTCAGGCGATTTTTGCGAAATGCCATTTTCTTTCGATTTTGGAAGCTACAGATCACGGATTTGGCTCGAGGCTATTCTCCACCGATAATAAAGTCTATTGATCCTAATCTGCGCCAATGATTAAGTCAATTAAGCACCGAATTGGGCCAATATATTTTGGGATGTCATTTTCGTAATTATTTCAGCAACTTTTTTTCGAAATGCCATTTTCCTTCGATTTTTAAGGATAAATATGGTAGATTCGGCCCGAGGCTATTCTTCAACGACAAATAATTTCATCCAGGGCCAATTTTGGTGGATTTCTTCCGGGTCCATTTTTGGCAGACTCCAAAGGGGTACCATCACAGATTTCGGGCGATTTTTCCGAAATGCAATTTTCTTTCGATTTTGGAGGCTACAGATTACGGATTCGGCTTGAGGGTATTCTCCACCGATAATAAAGTCTATTGATCCTATTCTGCGGCGATAATTAAGTCAATTAAGCACCGAATTGGGCCAATATATTTTGGGATGACATTTTCTTAATTATTTGAGCAATTTTTTTCGAATGCCATTTTCTTTGGATTTTGAAGGATAAAGATGGTGGATTCGGCCCGAGGCTATTCTTCAACGACGATTAAGTCCATCCAGGGCCAATTTGGGCGGATTTCTTCCGTGTCTATTTTTGGCGGACTCCGAAGGGGTTCCAAAACATATTTCGGGCAATTTTTCCGAAATGCTATTTTCTTTGGAATTTGGAGTCTACAGATCACGGATTCGACTCGAGGCTGTTCTCCACTCATAATAAAGTCTATTGATCCTATTCTGCGCCGATGATTAAGTCAATTAAGCAGCGAATTGGGCAAATATATTTTGGGATGGCATTTTCGTAATTATTTGAGCAATTTTTTTCGAAAGGCCATTTTCGTTTGATTTTGAAGGATAAAGATGGTGGATTCGGCCTGAGGCTATTCTTCAACGACGATTAAGTCCATAAACAGACAATTTGGGCGGATTTCTTCCGGGTCCATTTTTGGCATAATCCAAAGGGGTACCATCTCAGATTTCATGCGATTTTTCCGAAATGCCATTTTCTTTCGATTTTGTTGGCTACAGATCACGAATTCTGCTCGAGGCTACTCACCACCGATAATAAGTATATTGTTCTTATTCTGCGCCGATGATTAAGTCAATTAAGCACCGAATTTGGCCAATATATTTTGGGATGGCATTTTCGTAATTATTTGAGCAATTTTTTTTGAAACGCCATTTTCCTTCAATTTTGAAGGATAAAGATGGTGGATTCAGCCTGAGGCTATTCTTCAACGACGATTAAGTCCATCCAGAGCCAAATTGGGTGGATTTCTCCTGGGTCCATTTTTGGCAGACTCCAAAGGTGTACCATCACAGATTTCGGGCGATTTTTCCGAAATGTCGTTTTCTTTTGATTTTGGAGGCTACAGATCACGGATTCGGCTCGAGGCTATTCTCCACCGATATAAAGTCTATTAATCCTATTTTGCGCCGATGATTAAGTCACTTAAGCACTGAATTGGGCCAATGTATTTTGGTATGGCATTTTCGTAATTATTTGAGCAATTTTTTTCGAAAGGTCATTTTCCTTGGATTTTGAGGGATAAAGATGGTGGATTCCGCCTGAGGCTATTTTTCAACGACAATTAAGTCCATCCAGGGCCAAATTGGGTGGATTTCTCCTGGGTCCATTTTTGGCAGACTCCAAAGGGGTACCATCACAGATTTCGGGCGATTTTTCCGAAATGCCATTTTCTTTCGAATTTGGAGGCTACAGATCACGGATTCGGCTCGAGGCTATTCTCCACCGATAATGAAGTCTATTAATCATATTATGCGCTGATTATTAAGGCAATTAAGCATCGAATTGGGCCAATATATTTTGGGATGACATTTTCGTAATTTTTTGAGCAATTTTTTTCGAAAGGCCATTTTCCTTCGATTTTGAAGGATAAAGATGGTGGATTCGGCCTGAGGCTATTCTTCAACGACGATTAAGTCCATCCAGGGCTGAATTGGCCGGATTTCTTCCGGATCCATTTTTGGCAAACTCCAAAGGGGTACCATCACAGATTTGGGGTGATTTTTCCGAAATGCCATTTTTCTTTGTATTTTGGAGGCTACAGATTACGGATTCGGCTCGATGCTATTCTCCACCGATAATAAAGTCTATTGATCCTATTCTGCGCCGATGATTAAGTCAATTAAGCACCGAATTGGGCCAATATATTTTGGGATGACATTTTCGTAATTATTTGAGCAATTTTTTTCGAAAGGCCATTTTCCTTTTATTTTGAAGGTTAAAGATGGTGGATTCAGCATGAGGCTATTCTTCAACAACGATTAAGTCCATCTAGGGCCAATTTGGTCGGATTTCTTCCGGGTTCATTTTCGGCATACTCCAAAGGGGTACCATCACAGATTTCGGGCGATTTTTCCGAAATGCCATTTTCTTTCGATTTTGGAGGCTACATATCACGAATTCGGCTCGAGGCTATTCTCCACTGATAATAAAGTCTATTGATCCTATTCTGCACCGATGATTTAGTCAATTAAGCACCGAATTGGGCCAATATATTTTGGGATGGCATTTTCGTAATTATTTGAGCAATTTTTTTTGAAAGACCATTTTCCTTAGATTTTGAAGGTTAAAGATGGTGGATTCGGCCTGAGGCTATTCTTCAACGACGATTAAGTCCATATTGGTATGTTCATACCATCATGGTACGATTTCTTGGTAAGAAATTGTACCATGATGGTATGAACATACTAATTAATATGGTAAGAAGGTTGAATACATGATAGTAGGAGCATACTAACTGTCATTTATGACTTTCATTGTTTACTACAAGTTACCATACGTTACCACCCACATACCATAGTGGTAAAGTATGGTAATTTTTGTTTAGTATTTTTTCACGCAGAAATTTGTAGATCCAATCATGATGAAGTTGTTCCTTCTGAGCAAACTTTTTAAAAACGACTTAAAAATGAAGAAATTACCATATGGTATGCAGTTGGTAACGGGTGGTATGAAAAAAAGTTTCTCGAAATACATTGAAAACTTATATCATTTTGTGGAGCACAACGAACTCGTTCCATCTGTGCAACAAAAAAAAAATGAAATCTGAGTTAGAACGAAGAATAAGAGTCGATTAAGAAAACTATGGAAAATAAAATGTCTTTAATTAACAACCCTTAGATCTGGATTTTCTGGACTCACTTAAATCTAAAGGTCCACATTTAGTTACTCATAGATCAGTAACCAATGGTTACTGACCCTATCCTAAGCCTTATATTGGCACCACTCAAAATCAAGGGGTCGGATTTAGCTACACACCCTATCCTAAACCGAATAAAATGATGTTTTGTTTTCATTCTATAATCCGTTTCAGTAAGCAAACCGGTAAATCTAACGACTAGAATCACTTGTTGTTTGCGGGCCATGAGGGCACGTTTTTACGATGGCACGATAACGACCCACCAAAAACGATATTTTAAAGACCTAGTATAGTATGCTCGAGAAGTACGTTCAGTCATCATATATAAGCATCTAAAGCCCCTCTCACATTCGATTAATACAAGATTCGGTGACGATGGACACCAACAATCCGGGTAGAATATTAATTATCATCCCTAACATATATATTTATGATACCTAGCTAGCTAGCCATCTAAAACGGATAAACTTGGCATAACCACAACGACCAAGACAACACAATGAAACAACAGGGGAAAGAAGAACAAGTCACGTCAGTCCCGCTACTACTTCTTATTGTTGTTGACGAAACCCTCGGCTTCTCCTCCCGTTCTGTCCCCACGCCGCTCAACGGCTACCACCACAACTGATGCCACAGCCCGCGGCGCGATTCTATATATTACAAAACCCTAAACCTTAAACCATAAAGAAAAGAAAAAGAAAAGAAAAAGAGATATGGCGTCAATAGCTTTTCTGGTGACTACCGTTATTACCATCTTGTTTACCGCTACGGCCGTTTCAAGCTTTTACGGGAGCAGTCCAGTATGCATTTCTTCGGGGGAAGACGAATCTCTCTACAGCTGCGCCTGTAGCGAGGAGAAGTTTCCCGACGACGACGACACGACGTGGCAGGACGGGCAGGAGGCCGTGCTGACCTTCCTCGACGGCAATCTGCTCGAGGATGGGTACTCCGACGTCTGCATTAACGCCACGTATTATGGGACGAGATTCTTCCTCTACGGGGGTTGCAACGACGACCACGATCTAGATACATGCAAGACTTGCCTGCAGGAGGCGCGCAGCGTGGTGAGCAGCTACTGCCCTAACGCGACGGGAGCTCAGGCCGCGTCCAGGAGGTGTTGCGTTCGGTACGAGAAGTACAAGTTATGTTGCGAGCCATAACTTACTGTTGTGTCGTTACGAATAAAGACTTGGTCTAGTAGTGGTAATACCACCAGTGACAACAAAATAAATATATATCACCCTAGTAAAAAAAAAAAAAATAACTATCGTGTTGTTATTGTGTTTCCTTCGGTAGCGAGTCTTGAAATCGAGTTTTTCGTTGAGTGGAAGTCATGGTGTCTCTCTCTTTCGTGGATTAGCTAACACTTATCAAGTTACTAAATGTCTAAATCAAGTGAATATGTGTGTTCTTACTTTCTTCCATTATCGATTTCTCGTTCCGTTCTAAGTCTCTTTCGCTATAATTTGATCTTCGATGGCTGTTGTCTTCCCGAAGGCTGCGATGCCGATCGAATCTCCATGTTAACCCGTTTCATAGCATGTCTTTACTTTCCCGCCGGTGATCTGTTCCCGATTGTTGTTTGGAAAATATGCATCAACTTTAATTTTGATATGTATCAATTCCAATCTCGTAATGTCGAATATCAAATAAATTTGTTCCCGATTGTTGTTCGGGAAACCCAACCCAACACAATAAATGGGTACTCTGGATTCACGAACATAACTATACATATTTCTTCGAACACTCACATCATGTTATCAAATTTATCCTATAAATATATCTTCGTAAAGACTAATATATATATCCATAATTTATACATATTATTTGGTTTATATTGTCATAAAGAGAAATAACATCCATAAATTATTCATGTTACTCCGATTAGATACAAAATGATGTTGTTTTTCTTTATGCGTGTGGGTCGGGTGGAAAGCGGGTTGGGCTTTGATAAAATCCAAACCCATCCCAACTCGCCAAATTCATAAGTGATAAAATCCACACCTGACACAAAACCAGTCAACTCTGGATTTTACCCACTTTGATCGAGTTGAGTCGGGTTGGGTACCCATGGGTTCAAATTCAATTGTCATCCCTACTTAGTAGTATACAGTATGCATTGTAAGAGAGTTCTATGAGACAGGAATGACAGTTTTGCCCAAACACATTAGTATTTTAACTACTATCCAACCCAATTGGATTGGGTATGAAATCCAAATACATGATAAATGGGTAGAGTTTTATGCGTATATACTCATATCCATTCATTCGGGTTGGGTTTTTAAACCATGGATTTGGTTTGTACCCATACCTATATGCAAATTATATTTTGGTACCTAAACTTAATAGATCTCTAGATTTAGTACATAAATTTTAATTTTCTCTTGCACATAAGTTGTAAAAATATCTATGATAATTACAATTTTAGTATCTAAATTTTTGTGTATTATATATTTTCATACCTAACATTTTTAAGTTTTACAAATACATTCAATTTTTGTTTGTGTAGTTAAAACAACCTCAAATAAATGGTCATCCGATCCATACCCAACTCATACTAATTTAGAGTATGGAAGCAATACTCATTTATACTTCACTCATACCCTATCCATAATAAATGGGTTTATTTGAGTTTGAGTAAAATTACTCGTGAAGTAATTGACATCTCATTATCTATAATTAAACTTTTGTTAACAACTCGAGTTATATATTGGGACCAGTTGGTTTATGAAGTGATATCAAAGCTCTAATTTAGCCAAATGATCATATATTCGGATCTCCACGATCCCAAATGATCATATATTCGGATCTCATGATCTATAATTAAAATTTTGTTAACAACTCGAGTTATATATTGGGACCAGTTGGTTCATGAAGTGATATCAAAGCTCTAATTTAGTCAAATGATCATATATTCGGATCTCCACGACCCCCAATATCAACAACCGATTTAAGTACAAGGTGCATTGATTGGCTATCCAGAAATATATTTTAGTAAGGGAGATATTTAGCTGCTACCCGGGTTGGAGCCAGCTCCTACAACCCACCTGCGTGTCATATTTTAATTGGATGTTAATTTGTTTTGGTTAGTTAATTTTCTGTACTTACCCATTTTAGATTTTCCTTTTATATTACTATTTTTTCCTCGCAAAATGTGTTACCCATATTATACAAAAACTTAGTTATTAGAAAAACTAAAGTAATTTTGTGATAATATAGTGAAATCACTTTTTATTAATAAAAAAATGCAATGTTAATCTATTGCAATATGTGGAATTCACACCAAATTAGTGATAGATTAGTGCTTCAATATTTTTTTTTCAAAAAATCCCTCAAAATATTGAGCATACAGTAAGATATAAGTGAGTCATATGACAAAAAACAACGAAGAGCATAAACTGAACCAACCAAAGAACCACGAAAATGCTTTCTTTGCCATCAACTGTACAAGCTTATTATCATTATAACCAATAGATTATCTTCCGAAACCTTGTCAAACACCATCTTCGTATTACCAACAAAAGCTATAAGCATCACCTCACTAACTAGACATCACAAAATCGCATAGTAAAGACCCGACAACTCGAGAAGAACAGAGTCGGAGATAACCTCGTACAACTTCGACATGAAATAACTTTTTTAGATTTCTCAATAGTTTGTAACTTAATTATTTTATTATAAAAGTTATTCGTATAAAGTAAGAAAGAACAAGCGAAATAGTTAATAAAAAAAATAAACACCCAATTAAAGTAAGACACGCAAGTGGCTAGCAGCTAAGTATCACCCTTTAATTGGATGTTTGACAAGGTTTCGGAAGATAATCTGTTGGTTATAATGATAATAGGCTTGTACACTTGATGGCAAAGAAAGCATTTTTGTGGTTCTTTGATTGGTTTAGTTTATGCTCTTCGTTGTTTTTTGTCATATGACTTACTTATATCTTATTGTATGCTCAATATTTTGAGGGATTTTTTGAAAAAAAAAATATTGAAGCACTAATCTATCACTAATTTGGTGTCCACAAGAATACCACATATTGCAATAGATTAACATTGCATTTTTTTATTAATAAAAAGTGATTTCACATATATTATCACAAAATTACTTTAGTTTTTTTAATAACTAAGTTTTTGTATAATATGGGTAACACATTTTGCGAGGAAAAAATAGAAATATAAAAGGAAAATCTAAAATGGGTAAGTACAGAAAATTAACTAACCAAAACAAATTAACATCCAATTAAAATATGACACGCAGGTGGGTTGTAGGAATTGGCTCCAACCCGAGTAGCAGCTAAATATCTCCCTTTTAGTAGGCTCCAAATATGATCAAATGCAATGCATGTTCCCATACCAAAGATAGTTTCCTTTGTGAAAAGATGGTCGATGATTCAAAATCATACATACTTCGTCTTAAAAATCCATAACTTTTAATGTGTCTTCAGTCTCAGAAGTGGGATCCGTCACCTCACAATTGTGAATTTGTGATGGATTTGTCCGTAAGTCTAAAAAAGGATAAATTCGATAGTACAACAACGATCAAGACAAGCAAGCACAAGTGGAAAAACAGGGGAAAGAAAGAACATCTCACGTAAGTCCTTACTCTTATTGTTCACAAAAAGGAACCCTCGGCTTTCCCTCCACATCCGTCCCACCCTTCTCATCTTCTCTCGCCACGGCCGATCGGCTTTCTCTATATATACATGCCCCAAGTACGTAACATTCATATGAGAAGAAGAAGAAGTAAAAATGGCGTCAATAGCTTTTCTGGTGCGACTTGATCTCATGACGATCTCCTTTGCCGCCACTACGTTTATGATGATCTTAAGCTGCTACGCTGCTGATCAAAAAGATCAAGTGTGCCTTGTTCCTCCAGACCACGGCCTTTTCTACCACGATTGCAGCAACCAGACGCTGCCCTCGTCGAACCTGCAGGCCGACGCGGTGGCCTTCGCAGGGAAGAAGCTGTCCCAGGAGCTCAAATCCAATTCCTCCGATGCCTGCGGCGAGGCCACGTTCTTCGCCGGCGCCGACGACCTAGTAGGGACGTTGTTCTACATCTACGCGGGGTGCGCGCAAGGCCTCGACGGAGGTCAATGCGAGGATTGCGTCCAGGATGCGAGCAGCGTCGTGAGTTACTACTGTCCCGACGCGGCCTGGGCTCAGGCCGCGTCGGTGTTCTGTTGTGTTCAGTATCAGCCGTATCCGTTTTGTTGAAACGTCGTATGTGTGTTTTATGACGTGGTATCGGAGCTATCATTAAGATTTGCGTTTTAGAAATTATGGTAATCATGTTTTAGAAATGTCTAAGAGTAATCTGTAATCCATAAAATCCACTATTTCTACACTAGTATGACAAGTTTTTTCTGTACCTTTAACTAGGGGTGGCTATACGATCCGGTCCAGTTAAATTGGACCAAATTGATTCGATCACAGTCCGGTCCTTTTCGGGAATATAAAGACCAAAGATTGGATTGGATACAGTCCAGTCTTGATCCGATCCGGTCTTTACCCGGTCCGATCCCAATTTGATCTTGATTTTAGGTGTTGGGGGTCTCTTATCCGGTCTTTATCCGGATTTTTTTACCTCAAACCTAACCCCGAATATGAGATTGGATTGTTTGCTATCCGGGCCCAATCCAGTCCCGGTCCGGATTATACGGTCCAGTTTCGGGTAAAACCAAACAGTTCGGACCAAATAGCCAACCCTACCTTTAACTCCACCATACTTATTAATAATATTGTATAATAAAAAAGCACAAAGGTTTCGTCTCTTTCTTGTCTCCGACGCAAAAGACGAATACCAAACTCGAAAAGGCAAAACCCCCACTATGAGTAAGATATACAAAATTATATCTCCACGAACAACACACCAATATATCACTATATAGTCTAGTTTTGAATCGCATATTTATTGGTGGCGGCCATAGCTCTACGCCTGTAAAGATGAACTTTTACGGGTATCCACAACGAAACCACAGTAGGTAGTGGTTAACCACATAATGTGGGGCGCGTAACCCCCAACCCGCACCAATTTTCACCCCTTAATCCATACTCAACCCATGCCCATTTAGCTCGGGTATGGAAGCAATACCCATGCTCTACTCAAACTAATATATACTTTATCCATGCCCTGCCCATAATCAATGGGTTTACTTGGGTTTGAATAGAATTATTCATGGTGGGGTAATTGTCATCCCTAGTACAACGTATATAATTAATCTTCTCTTAACCACTCGAATTATATATCGAGCCAGTTGGTTTATGAAGTGGTATCAAAGCTCTAATTTAGCCAAATGATTATATATTTGGATCTTCACGACACCAAATATCAACAATTGATTTAAGTACAATGTGCATTAATTGGCTACCCAGAAATATATTTTAGTAGGCTACGAAAATGGTCAAATGCAATGTGTGTTCTCATGCCAAAGATAGTTTCCTTGTGAAAAGATGGTCTATAATTTAAAATGTACAGACTTCGCCTTAAAAATCCACAAATTTTTTGTGTACGTCTTCAGTTTCAAGTGGGATCCGTCGACCTCACAATTTCTAATCTAGCTTCACCAACAGTATAGGATGATGGATTTGTGTAAATTTCAAACTCGTGAGTCTAAAACGGATTAATTTCGATAGAACAACAACGATCAAGACAAGCACAAGTGAACAACAGGGAAAAGAAGAACATCTCACGCAAGTCCTTACTTCTATTGTTTACAAACAAACCATCGGCTTTCCCTCCATATCCGTCCTACCCTTCTCAACGTCTATTTCCCCGCCGCCGAGCGGCTTTCTATATATACACTCGCCAAGTAAGATTCTTACCATCAGAAGAAGTAAAAAATGGCGTCAACAGCATTTCTGTTTCGACTTGATCTCATGGCAATGACTGTGATCACCATCTCCTCTGCCACTACTACGTTTATAATCTTAAGCAACGCTGCTGATCCGAAAGATCAACTGTGCCTTGCTCCTCCAGACCACGGCCTCTTCTACCACGATTGCAGCAACCAGACGCTGCCCTCGTCGAACCTGCAGGTTGACGTGGTGGCCTTCGCCAGGAAGAAGATGGGCCAGGAGCTCCAATCCAATTCCTTCGATTCCTGCGGCCAGCACAAGTTTTACAGCGAAGGCGGCGACGACCAAGTAGGAACGGATTTCTACTTCTATGCAGGGTGCTCGCACGGCCTTCGCCGCGATCAATGCGAGGATTGCGTGCAGGACGCGAGCCGCGTGGTTCGTGGCTACTGCCTCGACTCGGCCTGGGCTCAGGCCGCGTCGGTGTTCTGTTGTCTTCAGTATCAGCAGTACCAGTTTTGTTAAAATGATCGTCTGAAAACGTGTCTTGCAACATGGTATCAGAGCTGTCTTTTGTTCACCCAGAGATCTATAATAATAACCATATTAATCCTTGTCTGATCATTTCGATTTCGTTTGAAAGATGGTGTGTACAGGATGGTACAAAATCTATTGATCAACATTCTAAACCCTGCAGTACTTCTTAATCATCCCTTGTTTGGATTATGAATAAAAGCAAATCAGGCCATGAAAAGGAACCAAATTGGGATGATAGAGATCAAGGAAGAAGTGCTCTACTACATGATGAGAATACTATAAGGTCATACAGATGGGAAACTAACATCAAAAGGATCCTTCAGAATAGCATCTAGCAACACAGAATATTCATTCACTCTAGGATCCATGATAAACCCACCATTCCTTCAGCCGCCGCCTTGTTTCTCAAGCTTTCACACAGCAGTTGAAGTAACTGAAGAAGCTCCTCCTTGCCTGTTCATAGAAATGGTGAGAGAGTTAAAGACCACAACAAGTAAGTAGCTCAACATTCTGTTAAAGCAATAGTTCATCAACTCTCTTCTGTCCTCATGCACTTGTTCAAACAAAACGGCAAAAGTTTTCATTTCGATCTGTTGGGTTGGCATGTTGTACCAAATGCATGCAGAGGTTAACAGTCAGTCGTGTACTACTGCTCACCACTTTCCAGACAGTGTACAGATTCCTCCATCATGTTCAAGGAAATGAAACAAAAAGAATAATTGAATTGGTTCATCCCTATAGTTAATAACTGTCCCAATATCGTATGGCATGTGGACCTGCTATAGGGTTAAGGTTTCTTGACAGACAATCAGCCTCCAAGGACACCCTTCCTTCCTTGTGAGGCCACCAACCCAGAAGATAGAATTCGGGCCATAAGTAGATCACTTAAAACCCAATCCATATGCAAGGTTCAAACTTCACACTTAGAAGAACGGTCGAGAACCATCACTATCCTAACAACTCGAATATTATCATAAAACGAATTTACTCTTTCTTTTTTCCCCTTCTTTCCGACGAGTAAAATGGATCTCTTATCGTTCCTTCAAGAACCACTTCAAGTTGAAGTTGAAGAATGGCATGACTCATGACTCATTTTCTTAATCCTCTAACTATAGAATGACAGCAGCCGACGAGGAATTCTATAACAAATCACAAGTATATTCTATACCATAATCTGTTGATTTCAAAGTCCTGTAGGGAAATGTCAAATTCGAGACTTCTCTTGCACATATATGATTTTAATATAACAGCTCCATTGGTAGCAGCCTAGAACAAAGCAAGGAACCCAATATTTTCTTCCATGATCCCACCTCGAAAAATCAGTATTCTAAACAAAGTACATTCATTCCCAGAGGAATTTAAAAATACTAAAGCTTCTCTCCTACCCAAAAGTAATAATAATTCCAAAGCTCTCTCCTTTCTCAACAACTCATGACCCCATCAAACCCTCCCCACATGGCACACCCCATTTGCAAATCCATAGTAGCATTGATATCCTTTTATTAATGGTTGGCCCTCTACCTAATTAAATTCCTTCAACTACTCTCTGTCCACAGTTGTATCTGTACTATCTAGATCACATACTGCCATTGTTATTATCTATGGTTTAAAATGCAGAGGAAAGCTCAACTTGACAAAGCTTGACATAATTCTACTTTTTCCCTCCGAAATGACAAATATGATATGAAATTAGCTCTAGTTTGATGACCAATATGGTGCACTCCGATTTGATAGAGGTGTTAACATCATCTTCTGAGTAATATGTTTCCATTAACATTCAAGATAACAAGTAGGCGAAATTTAAGTGCCATGCCATATTTGTCATTTCAAAACTACAGCTACTAGGCCTTATCAACACAGAACAAGAAAGGAAAGAAGAAGTCTTACAGTGGGGGAGTGTTGTTGGTGGTTGCTGTGATGGTACTGCTGTGGTTGATTGTCATTGTTGTGGCTAGCTTTGGGCAGGTTTGCGGTCGGGTTAATGAGTTCTTCCTCATTTCCCAGACTGGCCCTGGTTTTGTTCTGCTTCCTCATTTCCCTGATCTTCGAGAAATCCATGGAGTAGTCTGGCAATGGACCCTTCTGATCCCAGTCCCCAAATTGTGGCACTGATAGCCATGGTGCATTCCTCTGCAAAAAAAAAAAAAAAAAATGTTTGATTAGCATTAGAATGTAGTTTGGATGCAGTGACTGGATGTAATGCAACACTTAATTTAGCAGAAAGTGAAGAAATTTACAATTCAGAAGATCTCAAATCTCAATTTATTGCTGTTTATTTTTGTCTTGTTCCTAGGTGGAAAGATTGCAGCCCAAAATCTAGGACTCCAATCAATGGACTTCCCCCAAAACAAATCTACAGTTATAGGAAACTAGAAATTAATAAGTGGATAGGAACACTTCAACCAAGATACTAAAAATTGGGGATGGGAATGGAATGACAAAAGGATGGGAGGCAAACATAGTTGAAAATTCCACAGCTGTATTATCAAAAAAGGAAATTTTCAACAGCTGGAGAAAAGTCTTTTAAGCTATCATTTCAATCTCTATCCACAAGTCAAAACAAAATTGGGAATAATAGAAACCTGGCCTATGTGAATTGGACTGTTTCTCGTTGTTGTGTAGGCAACCTCTCCTAAGAGAGCCAACAAATTGGAATTTTTCCCCAATGTTTTGCTAAGGTCTAAGGCCATTGTGATGAAGAACACAACAATGGAGAACATGGCACAGTTAAACTAGTATAAAAGGAAAGCATTCAACATTTTGCTGGTGATTTATAAAGCAAAATGGGGCAAGGAAAGGTAAGAACATGTAAGCAATGAATGGCCAAAAGCAGCCATGGCTGGCTAATCATAGAGGAGGTCTCCTGCTAGCTGCTTACGGTGGCGAGAGGAAAGTGAAGTGGACCCAGAACACAGAACCAACTAAATGAATAAACCCAGTTAATCAGATTTCCTCACTTTTTTTCTCAGGAACCAAACAAGAGGGAAAGAAAATCTAAACAATTTCCTTCTCTTCCTTTTTAATCCAGCTCCAGCTAGCTACTTAGCTGGTTTCAGAGTGAAAATAAGCTCGACCCAGGAAGCAAACCAACGAAAAGAACAAGACCCAGGAATCAAAATCCGAACTTTTCCTCCATTTTCTAAATAATCAAACAAAAGAGATCAGAGAGAGGGTGAAAAAGAAAAGCTACCTCCTTGCGATCCTCCATTAGAGACTGAAACAGCTCAAGTGGAAGATTATGGTTCCTCCGGCTCCTTTCTTTTGGACAGTGAAAGGATAACAGAGATATGGAAAATGAAGAAAAGTATATAAAAGGGGAGAGACGAGACGAGTTGTGACTGTGATGTGGAGGAGAGTCGTCGTTTGCCGCGTCGGGCAGCGCAGACAGTGCCGTGTGCCAATGAATGGAGGAGCGAATAACGAAAACGAAAGAGAAGATGACACAGTGGAATTACGGGAGTGGATTTTATAGAAGGGAAAGGAATGGTTGGTTACAGGGCTCCAGCACGACGACAGCTTGGTTTGATGTAGCTCACTCTGGAAGAAGGAAGGAAGGCAGTTGCCTTTCTCGACCACTTTTTTCCTTCCTTCCTTCTTATTATTTTGGGTTGATGCCTAAATGGTCACCAAACTTTAGTAGTGATTATTGCCAAATTGGTTGTCCAATTTTGATTTCTAACAAACTTTTTTTCTTTGAAGTTTGAAATGTCTAACATAAACATATCACCACCATTCAATGTATTGTTATTGTGTTTTCTCTCTCGTTCCGATTCGTCATACGTTGCCCTAAACAAATCGCTCTAAACCCTACATCACCCTGCAAAGAAGACATTAGTTATTGACAATCTTGAAATGCATGGTGACGTATCGCATCCATCAACAATCCATGTCGTAGCTGACAAACAACTAACTAGGAGTATTGCCTCCTTTGAAAATCGCACCATGGATGCAAATGTGCTACGACAAATGTGGATTTGAGTTGGCCATAGCAAAGAGAACCCCCTAGCAAAGAGAGACTTGCACAACCAAACTCGAAGTACTTCAAAGTTGAAACCACCTAGCGCACAATTGTATTAGAATTTATCTTTAACGTCTATGAGGGGATCGAAGAGCGCCTGTCTAGGAAGTTGAACATGGAGTGCAAGGTCAAAGGGGAGAGCAAGGATAGTTTCAAAAACTTAGTGGGAGTATCGAGTGACAAGGAACTGCACAAGTGTTGGAGCAAAAATTATGAGAAATCTAGATCATCTACGGTAGAAAAACATACCTCTACAATAAAAGGAAAAAAACATATTAAAGGGACACAAAACTTATCATCAAATTCAACAAGCAAACAACAATATTTATCTATCCCCAGTTCTTTATTTTCTAGATTACTCTACTAAATCTTATTTTATTTTGTTTTGGAATGGAATGGAATTGTGCTTCTTACTTTCTCCTTTTTAATAAATTGGTCTTACACTCTTACTTACTTACTTTGTAACTAGAGCCATCAATTGGTGGTTGTTACGGTGCAAATTAAGCATTTGACTGATAATCATATACGACTAGAAATTAAACAATCCAAGACATTACTAACTAATCATTTGTTTAATTAATATAATCACCGTATAATATTCTCTAATTGGAATCACAACTAGGATGGGTGGATTGATTCAATTCAACAATAATGGCCGGTGCTGATCATTGGCCCTTCAACATGATTAGTTAATGATTATTATTGATATATAACACTAATCCCCCTCTGTCATAAAAGCCATTAAGCAACATCCAATAATATATCCTCTAGCTAGTTGTCCAATAATATTTTATAATCTAATGTTCGAAGGTGTAAGGTCTGAATCGTGTGAAATCATTAATTCTTTGTTCATTTTCCCCTCCTCTTAATTATCGTGATAAAAATATTGTTACTCATCATGGTGGAGGATATGAAAGCCTGAAAATAGAAATAGTATTTAAAATAAAACCGGACATTGATTCGGATTAATAAGAGATTCAAAGTTTAGCGAATAATCGGTGGTTAACCGATATAAAAAACCTTTCATAAACCTGTGTTGGCTTATTTGGCAGAGCTAACAATTATTGTTTTACGATTATTGTTTCACATATTAGAAGATATGTGTTGGTTTGTTCTTTATCGAAAATAATAATATCTTTCAAACAATACATATAATCCATCCATCAAATATTATAAAGGCTTTCTCACCGAATGCCTCCCCGCAACTTTCGGAGTACATATTAATTTTTTTAATTTTTTTATTGACAAACTCAAGATACAACCACGAGTACATATTTCGCTTATTCTTCTTCTACTTCTTATGTGCAGAATGGCAAAGTTCAGATTGCTTTGTATGACTGGCTTTGGTGTCTATGACCAGAGTCGATGCCCTGCATGCCCCAATTACATATGTGACCAGTGGCGTACCGAAAGATCTGGTGAGGGGACTCTGATCATTGACATTGGCATTAAAGTTTATGGGTTGCTGATTTTGTTCATAAAGTTGTTATCTTTATTCATAATTCTTTGGTTTGTTTTTCCAGATTACTTGGATTGAAGCCCACCAGCCTACAATTCGATAAAGTGTATGGTTGATGAAGCTTTATCAAGAGATGTCAACAACCACAAAGCCCCTCAAACCAGAGTCTTAAAGTGATGTTGAAGGCACACCATCCCCCACTCAATGCTTACAAGAACGAACCAGGATACTAATGCCCGCTTCGAACAACAACGAGAAACTTCTGGACCGTCACATCATTGCAAATTCAAGTAACAACAAACAAATGAAAAGCTCCCAAGTACTCGGCACATTCAGTTAATGCAGATAGTCATCACACACCAACGATACTATTACGAAACTTTAGGTTTTTCATCGTACTCATGTTTGTGAAGTACAGCGTTTGTCCAAATGACTGTTATGATGTGTTAACCATTGTAAATTTAAATAATCTACATCTAAACTTTTGTCTGTCAAGAGTATATATGGTAATTTCAAAACAACAACAAAAAATGGGGACACATATAATCACTATAATGATAAGGATAATAAACGACCCATCAAATACCCATAGACGACAAAAAAGGGGAAAGTGGATGGCACAACCAACCCCGAACAACAGTTATCCCGGCCAAAGGCCGGGCAGGAAGCTAGTATAAATACATAAATTGATTAAAAATTCATCGATGGCCCATCATGCTTGGAGAAGGCCCAATAGTTTCTCAGCCTAATAGTTACTTATTGGGTTAGGATGGTCCAATCTTAATTACAGAAGAATTAGTAATTAAATTAAATGAACAAAAAAGGAGTGTAAAAATGGCATGGCGTCCATCTAATTTCTAAAACCCAAAACCCTCGCCCGCGCTCCGCCGTCTTCCGTCCCCAGCTGGCCAGCTCGTTCAGCCGCTGCCGGAGTAGTACCTCTCTCAGTCCAATCGCTTCCCCACTTCCCGACGTCCACGAATCATTACTCTCTGCCGGCCGCTG